AACTTTGGACAACCATAACTTTGTGCTCCAAAATCCAAACAACAAGAATTTTTTTTCCGCAAAGTTATGGTTGTATTCCTTAAAAATTTATGCGAAATAAAAAAAAATTCATGCCGTTTGGATTTTGGAGCACAAAGTTATGGTTGTCCAAAGTTTAACGAAATCGGGAAAAAGCTCGTTCGGGGTAGCAAACGACATTTTTTCAGGACGAAGGCGGGATCAAACCACCTTCAACAGTCTTCGGCTTGCAAGATCTCGAAAAGTTATGCGGAATAAAAAAAATCGCGACGATCGGATACCCGAACAAAAAGATACGTTCATTTGAAGTTTCCACCTAGGTTAGGATTTTCAAAAAAAAAAAAACATACCGCATGGTGGGGGTGCGGTCTACAAACAAACCGCATGGTGGGGGTGCGGTTTGCAAAACCGCCCCCTACCAGTGCGGTTTCCATCGAAAAACGCACCCTCGGGTGGCGGTTTTCGCCTAAACCGCTGGTACGGGTGGCGGTTTTTGGGAAAGGGTGCTATTTTTGGAATTTTTCGGAGTTGGGTGCTATTTTTGGATTTTTTTTTTAAACAGTGCTATTTCTGAAAAAATCCCACAACAAACATAAAAGTATACTTGAAAATCCTTTTTTTGTTGGGAAACTTGATTTTAATTGTTGATACTTATTATTGTGGTTCCCTTATTAAGTCCAACAAAAAGAAAACTGATTATTCGTTTATTAAATCTACAAACAAAAATATAAAGTTAGAATAAACCCTAGATTTTCAACTAAGATGGTAAATAGAAGAGAAATAGGCGATATTAAAAAAAATCAACAAATGCAAAGGAAAAGAACGAAAAGAATAAAGAACCTAGTATCTTGTTTCACGGGTTCCGATGTCACTATTGTACTTTCTTATTGGGAGTGAGTGATTTCATCGTTAACTTTCTAGTCAACATTGAGTGAGAGAGATTAGTAAAATGTATAACCAAGAACGAAAGTCGGTCTTGAGCTATTTCAATGGTTATGATGCATCTTTCGACTTTTAGCTTTTGATTGAGAGTGGTGATTTCATCGTTAACTTTATATTCAACATCGAGTGAGAGAGATGAGTAAATGTACAACCAAGCACGAAAGTCTGTCTCGAGCAATTTCATCAATTTCGAGAGATTAAGAATACAAAAAATAAATACGAAAGTTAATCGATTTTAGCACAAAAAACAATAATATAAAAGGAATAGGTAGAGAGATTAATGAAGGAGAGAATAATAAAAAAATTATAAAAGGAGAAGAAAAAGAAATCAATAAAAAAATTGAAGAAAAAAAACTCATAGCTAATGCCATTTCTTCTTGCCATGTGTCATCCCTCAATTATACCCCTAAAGTTGATGTTAATTATGAATTAACCGCTTAATGAATAGTAACTTGGAGACTCATCATTTTATAATAGAATTCAACCCCTTCCCATCGATTTTCAATCTAATTCAACCCGGTCAAACCGGGTTGAACCCAATGTTGACGAGTTTTGGGTTGGGAGCGAGTTTTACCTTCTTTTGTAATTAATGGGTTTGGTCGGGTGATGATTTTAGTTAAAACTTGGCTTGCTTTACATTTGACCTACACCCAGAAAATAAAACAATTGACTCGGTCAAAGCGGGTTGAATTCGGTTTTGACGACTTTTGGTTCAGGAGCGAGTTTTACCTGCTTTAATAATTAACGGGTTGGATAGAGTGTGGATTTTGTTAAAAATTCGTCCCACTTTCTATCCGACTAGGACCAAAAAACAAAACAATCGACCTAGTCAAAGCAGGTAGAACTTGGTGTTGACGAGTTTTTGGGTCGGAATGAATTGAACCCGGTGTTCACGAGTTTTGGGTCGGGAGCGAGTTTTACCCGATTTTTTTAATTCACGGGTAGGGTCAAGTGTGGATTTTGTTAAAAACTCCGTCCGCAATTCATCCAACTTGTATGGCCGTACCTAAAAATACAAAAAAAATTGACCCGGTGAAAGCGGGTTGAACCTGATAATAACGACTTTTTGGTCGGGACCGAGTCTTACGTGCTTTTGTGGTTGATAGATTGGGTTGGTTGTGGATTTTGTTAAAATTCGACCTACTTTCCTTCCATCTGACCTGTACCCAAATAACAAAACAAAAGGTTGGACTTGGTGTTGATAAGTTTTGGGTCGGAAGCGAGTTTTATCGCTTTTGTAATTGGCGCCTTGATCGGTTGGGTCGGTTGTGAATTTTGTTAGAACTCAGTTTGCTTTCCATCCGAAACTCGCATAAAAAAAATAATAAAAAGATGTCGAATTCCCGTAATAACTTACTCTAGATAGTAGATACCTTTTGAAATGCATTTTTGTTGTAAAATATTATAATAAATGATGTTTGAAACTATTATATTATAAATGGATAATGGCATTATCATAATGCCACTTCTCATAAACTTTTAACTCTCTCAAATTATTAAATTCACTACCCGGGCGGGCCTTGGTGCTAGTTAGCTTTAATAATCTGGATTTTTTTTTTATAATAATAATCCGGATTTGGGTTAACTAGTTGTGGGCAAAGTTGGCATCTTATTGGTCTCGATCTAATCAAGCAATTGCCCAATGGGTATATGCGAACAACAATGAATGATGATCCTTGTCTAATAAACATCCTCAATGATCAATCAGTCTGAGTATAATATTCTACCATTTTGTTAGCAGCACAAACGCCAACCGCGGAATTGGTTTTGTCCCTGATCACCAACCGATGATTACTTATTTAGGGTTCGATCTCTTTGGCCCAGAAGGGAATAATTCTGCAGACGTCAGATTCCCAATGCACGCACCTACAGTTCTGTCGGTCCTCTATGACTCTATCCATATATGGTAACAACCAGAACCCCAGAAAGCTAAATAATACTGCAGACGAGAAGAAGAAAAAATGGGTTGTGGTTGGGGAGTTGTGGTGGCAGCTCTGGTGGTTGTAGTAGCAGCCAAGCTATGGCAGCTAACGTGGGCACTGTTTTGGAAGCCGTATGCCTTGACCAAATTCTTCAGAAGCCAAGGAATCAGAGGCCCTTCTTACCGATTCCTGTATGGATCCCTAGGAGAAATCAAGGACCTCAAAAGGGACGCCAAGAAGCTGGTGCTCGACAGCTCCTCACATGACATCTCTCCTAGAATTCTCCCTCACTATCACAAATGGTTCCCTCAGTACGGTCAGTCACAAATGCCTTTTGTGTTCCTTCCTTTTCTTTCCGCTTGCATTCTGTACCAACCAGATTTACTAGTAGCACGCAATTGCAGGGGAAACTCTTGTGTACTGGCATGGCTCGTTGCCCAGGGTTACAGTTACGGACCCGGAGCTGGTGAAGCAGATTCTGTCAAACAAGTTCGGTTTCTACGTGAAGCTCAAGTTCAAGCCTTCCCCCGTTGTGGGAAACGGGCTGGTGTTGCTGGATGGGCCGCTGTGGGCTCGGCGGAGAAGGCTTCTCCGTCCTGCTTTCTCCATGGAAAAGCTCAAGGTCTCTCTGTCTCTTCCCCTGCTCCTTGTTTCTTCTCCTCTGCCACTTACATTCTTGATCAGGCGCTAATTAATGGGAGTACTCTTGTGTTTGTTCATGGTGGCAGCCAATGATGAGCAAGATTGGATCATGCACGTTGGATATGGTGGTGGAGTGGGGCAAACGGGCTTCCAAAGGCGACCAAATAGATGCCAGTTCCGGGTTCCAGAGGCTGACTGCTGACATAATTTGTCATACAGCCTTCGGCAGCAGCTACCGTCAAGGGAAACAAGCCTTCCTAGCTATGAAACAACTGCAACGACTCACAGTAGCGAAACTCGGCGGTGTGCTCATCCCAGGAAGCCAGTAATTGCTAGACTAGTGCTTTCCCCCAAATCTGCACACATATTTTTCAACAAGGCAGCAAGTGAGCATTTGGTTTTTTTTTTTTTTTGGTCTTCCAATTCCTCAGGTATCTTCCAACACCTTCCAATATGGAGACATGGAAGCTGGAAAGGTTACTGGAAAACTCACTGATGAACATCATACGGAATAAGATAGCATCAAAGCCCCAGAATGGTGGTTATGGAGATGATCTCCTGGGCATGATGATTGAAGCCTCTGAGACAACACAAGGTGCCAAGATGAACATGAATGAAATCGTTGACGAATGTAAGACGTTCTTCTTTGCTGGCCACGAGACCACCTCCAATCTCTTGACATGGACCATCTTTCTGCTCACCATGAACAAAGAGTGGCAGCAGAAGCTCAGGGAGGAGGTGTTGAAAGAATGTGGCATGGAAATCCCTGATGCTGATTCACTATACAAACTAGAATTGGTAAGCATTTATTTAAATAGCAAGCACTATTCAGAATTTGACTTACTGATTCTTAACATAATATTAGAACTTTTGACGAATGGAAAGGTCGTCTCTCTTGAAATCCTGACAAACTCTCAAGTTCATGATTGCCATTTGTTCGGGAACCTCTCTCGACCACTTTAGTTGTTGAGATGAACGATTTGTTGAGAAAAGAGCTCAAACTATCAGGTTGTTTGAGCTGGTTCTCAATTCAGTGTTATTGAAATTGAAAGTAAGTGATGAATATGGGGTAACATTTCCCCCCCTCATTTTGAAGGTGAACCTGGTGCTGCTAGAGACACTGAGGTTGTACAGTCCTGCAATAGAGCTCAGTCGGGTGGCATCACAAGACATAAAACTTGGGAGATTGGATATTCCGAAAGGGACAATCTTGTCAATTCCCATCGTCAAGATCCACAGGAGCAAAGAAATGTGGGGAGATGATGCAAACGAGTTCAAACCCATGAGGTTTGTGAATGGAGTCTCCATGGCTGCAACTCACCCCAATGCTTTCCTCCCCTTTGGAATGGGTCCAAGAGTCTGCATCGGCCAGAACTTTGCAATGATGGAAGCCAAATCTGTGCTTGCATTGCTTCTCCAGAGGTTTTCTTTCACTCTTTCCCCCGACTATAAGCATACTCCTACCAACAACCTCACATTGCAGCCACAGTATGGTCTTCCTGTCTTTGTAAATCCCGTTTAAGTCTTTGTAAAGAATGGGAGATGGAAATGGATAATAAATTAAAATTGTAATGTATTGCTATATATGTTTTTTCGTGGCTTTCCGCATAAGAAGTTCCGAACTATATCACTTTATAATGGTGAAAACCCTTTTGAGGCTTATTCGATGATTGAACTGATAGGATTAGATTAGGACAGAAAGTGATTAGGCTTTGGCTCCGTATGTTCTATTCGATATGGGTAAGAGAAAACCCCAAAAAATGGACAAATTTCTTTTCTTAGAAACACATACAAGATTAGATGTGTAAAAAAAAAAAAAGAGTGAACAATCGAGTAGCTTGAGTAGTTGCCCTGGATTGGACTTGTTGGCAAGCTATATGGATCGATCGAATCTCATCGTGGTAATTAAGATTAATTTAATTTTCCAGGTTTAGTTGCTGACAGTCCAATTCTATAACTTTACTGGATGTGGCAATCAACCTTTATAGTTGACCGTTATATAAGTAACGTGGCAAACAAATTTAAATAATACAAAAATTTAAATCTAAATTTAAATTTCCACATCATTATCACTCCCATTAAAAAAATTGATTTATTTTAATTTCGTAAACCTCACTCCTCTTTCTCACCTTCAGTCTGTCACTCGACTCGAGATTTCTAGCAGTCAGAAATCCCCAATCCTGGCCGTCGCGATGCCGCCACCGAATCAAAGATCCTCTAGCAGTGCGAGGGCGGAGCTAGGGTTGGTTACACCTAGAAGGAGAGGGAGTGGAGTGCGAGCAGAATGAGATGTAGAGGTGCCTGGCACCGGAGAAGGCGAAGGGAAGGCAGTGATGTAAAAACACAAGTAATAAACCTATATATGCCTAAGGTTGTATTCCACAAGGTCTTTTGATGGTAGTTACTCAAAACTAGGTGCTCAAGTGATTGAATGAGATGGCAGAAAGTAAAATCAATGGGATGAGGTTCGCTAAAATTTGAGTACAATAAAGAAGTAATGGAAAGCATAGTAAATGAAAGAGTAAACAAGAGAGAAATAAGTTGTTCATGTTGTATCATCTAGATGAGCAAGCATACTTTCTCCTTAACAAAATGTCTATATGCATCGATATTGTGTTGACATTCTATCCTTCCTCTAAGGCCATTACCTACCTGTGCATACACCTCTTACGATACGAATTTAACTAGCTAATGTGTGCTTTCACTTCATGCCACCAAATAACTAATGATGTTCATAGAAGTAAGGATAGCATCATCATCAATTGTGGATTTCTACGAACCATGATGATGTTCTAAGGTGTTGGGGATATTTAGGCATCAAGCATCATCATCATTATTCAAATACTAGAAGGTTGTACTTCCCCTCTAGTACCAAATAATTTGTCATGGCGGCCACCTTTCTTGCCTTCTCTAACATCAAATAGCAACAGCTGCTCCCAGGTGAGAGGTCATCACTGCAATAGACTTCTATACACAGAGTTAAATATCTAGATAGAGTAATCACAACTACCAAACAAGTGATCACGGCTCTCTGCCTCCTTGTTACAGAGTACAAAGATAACATTAGAAATCTTCCTCTTGGATTTAAGTTTGTCTCAGGTAGTGATTCTATTCAAAATAACTAACCATGAAAGTAGTCAATATTTAGGAATTGCGAACTTGCTCCAAATAATTTGCCATCAAGCAACAGAAGGAGATCTACTCCCAGACTCAAGATACAGAGTACCTGATCATAGGTACACTTCCCATAAGACAACACCCTAATCATCAGCCATCATTTTGAATTGAAACCACCTGTTATGCATTAAAAAGTGTCTCCAAATCCAGGATCCTGTTTGAGTTGGTTGTAAACTCCAAATCGAGCGATCCTTTAACTTGTATATGTACATCAAAGCGATCAAAAAGCTGCCACCCTGTAAGAACAACAACCATACCTATACATTATATTCCAAGTATGGAGATCTTTTAGACTGAAACCTCTTTCCTTTTTCGGGCTCGCAAGAGTGTCCTATGCCACCTCGGCTTTTCCAATTCCATCACAGTGTAATAGAAAATCAGAGAATATTTTGTGAAGCTTCTTTTGAACTTTCCTAAGCAAGACAAATAGAGTCATCCAGTATGAAACAACAGAGTTAAGCATAGAGGAGATCAACTGCAACCTACCAACATAAGACATTTTTTTTTGCTCTTCATGACCTTATTTTACTCGTCAAACGATCAACTAAAACTTCACATTCTTTGTTGGAAAAGTTTCCCATAAATCAGATGAAGTCCTAAATATCTAACTGGTAGCTTGTCATGTTTAAATTGAAAAATATTCAGGGCATTTTGTTTATATTCCCTAGCATTTCCCACAAAGAAAACCTCACACTTATGTGGATTGCAACGAAGACCAGATACCAAATAGAATTTACCAAGGTTGTCAACCCGCAGGGCGACCCGGATCCGGACAAGCTAGTAGGTCAAGGGTTAATGGGTCACCCATTTTAGCCCGGTTTAGCCCGAAAATATTGAAAGGGTCATTAGATTGTACTTATCGTGAATTCAACATAGAAAAAATGCAATACTACCTAAACTGCAACACATTTAAATAACATCAATCTAAAACATAACCAATCTGAAATTCCTCTTCCACGTAAACCATCCAAAATTTCAAATAATTATTAACAATCAAGGTTGTCAACTCGGTTTGGTCCGTTGACCCAGTCGAGCTAGTGGGTGAAGGATTAATGGGCTGGCCAATTTTTTCTAAGTTAGCCCGAATAGGTGGAAGAATTTAATATCATATATAAATGATATCAAGTCTTATAGTAAATTTGTGCAATAACAGATAATATTACATTAAAACAATAGTTCATATTAAAATATAGTATATAGTAAAACTAAAACATATTTAAATCCAACTCATAACGTTCATTTTCATATATTAAACATAGAGTTTCAAATTACAAAATTAAAAATATTCAATTCAAATGTAGTCAATTTAATGATACGGGCAATAGCTAAGCGGAAGCGATCCTCTTGCCAACTATTTTTGTTATTCTTTTGGATAGACACAATTGTCTAGTTTTAATAAAATATAACCAAACAAAAATTAAATTATTCTGCTATCTATCTGTTTTTACTTTTTCATTTTCCCCGCCATTGGTAATTATCTTTCCGCGATTGTGAATGGATCCGTAGACGCTGGAGGGGCTACGAAGAAGTAGAGCTGTTTGAGAAAGGAGAAGGGAAATTATGTTATGACTGGATGAAGGAGATACTCAAAACGTTCACGGAAGACAGAATTCAAAGATTCAGTTCGATCTTGTGGTACCTATGAAAAGAGAGATGCAATCAAAAGTTCAATAATCGAAAGCTAGATGAGGATGAGATTGTCCCGCGTGCTCTAGCCTGGCTCTCTTCGTTCCTGGCGGCAAATGCGTCCCAAGATCTGAGCTCTCTTGCATGTCCTCCTCGGCATCGTCCTCCACTGATTTGCCACTGGACCCCTCTTCCTGAGGGCTTCTATAAGCTGAATTCTAATGCGGGCGTTATCCAGAACCAGGGGATTGGATTGGGATGCATCGTTCGTGACTGGCGGGGGTGAATTTGTTGGTGATATGGCGAGGAAGGAAAGGGGAGTAATCCGGCTGATCGAAGCGGAAGCGAAGGCGTTGATTATGGGTCTGAGGGAAGCAAATCAAAGAGCACTCTGCCCTCTAATTGTTGAATCTGATTGCCAGGTGCTCGTGAATCTCTTGAAGAATGGAATAGAAGATTTTACTAAGATGGGAGTCTGGAGCGATGAGCTAAGGTCGGTGGCAAGGGTGAACGAATCTCTGACTGGGAAAAAAGTTAGGTGGAGCTTTACTCCGAGAAAGACCAACTCATTGGACCATTGGTTGGCTCATGCTGGTTTGGGTTGGGATCAATAGATTGTTTGGGTGGATAATCCTCCGTTGTTGCTTGGTTCTCTGATTGAGGCCGACTTGGGACATGACACTTTGGGGCAGAACTGATTTCCGTTGTGCAAGTTCCAAAGAATAAAAAAAAAGTCTCGAAGAGAGAAACTGAAAAGGCAGGCCAAGGAAGGAAGGACCCGGAAGAGTTTGGAGGGTCAACCCGTCCAGTTTTGGCCGGGTTTGACCGGGTTTGGCTGGGTTAGACTTTTTCGAGGCTATCGCACCCGTCGGACTAAGTTTCATGTTAAGGTAATAGTATCTCCTGTTGTCATCCTTCAAGCGGTATGGTGATGCTACGTGCATACAGTGATCACTACGGAAAAGATAAAAGATGTCATAAAGCATAGGGACATCAATTTCCCCAAAAAACCATTGATTGGGATTGTTAAAGGTTCACCGGGTATTTTGCACCCGTTTTTGTTGTCGGGGCCAACTCGCGGGTTGAAAACCATGGAATTTACCAAGAATTCTCTTAACAGTGTTTAGGGCAACAGTAAAATATCCAAATAAAGAGCCATGGATACTGACACTAAAATGGGGTGAACTTAGACAAATTCTAATCCAATCAATGTATGTTTAAATTGAAAAGTATTCAGTGCATTTTGTTTATATTCCCTAGCATTTCCCCCAAAAAACCTCACACTTATATGGATTGCAACGAAGACCATATACCAAATAGAATTTACCAAGAATTCTCTTTGACAGTGTTTAGGGGAACAGTAAAATATATGAATAAAGAGCCATGGATCCTGACACTAAAATGGGCTGAACTTAGACAAATTCTAATCTAATCAATGTATGTTCTCGGGAAGTTCATAATCTCCATCACGCAGAATAAGAATTTCCAATCAATAGAGTCAAAAGCTTTCTAAAGATCTATCTTAACAACACAGCGAGAAGCTACATACTTTTTTGTTGTAGTTTTGGACCAATTATAGTGCCATGAAGACTCATCTAGGATACTTCTCCCCTTAATCAACGTTGGCTGATTCTGACTAATCAAACTAGGAGGACTGATTGAATTCAGTTTGCTAAGACCTTAACAATAATTTTATATAGAATGTTTATACAAGTT